CTTTGACTATGGGAGATTCAGAGTCATTGCAGTGAGGCCCATTTCCATGCCAATTGCTTCATAATTTTCTAAAGTATAGCTTAGTCTTGATGCAGTAAGTTTGTTTATTTGGTTGCCTTTTTACCTTTTGAGATAAAAATCTTGCTATGTAGCCTTTGCTTTGCAAACTGCCCTTGAATTCATGGTGATCCTCCTGCCTTGACCTCCCAAGTTCTGGGATTATAAGCATGCATGCCACGCCCTGCTGTTATATGATACCCTAATATTTGCTTGATCAGAAAAGGCAGCGGGGTATCTAATTTGTGACTTTTACTATCAGCTTCATTCCTGCTTTTCAACTTCCCTTCCCCACAATCCTTTCCTGTTACCTTTCTTTATTCTATTTATATAATTTATTGCCTTCTTTTCTTTGCAAAGGGAACAATATCACAAAAAAAAATGCCTCACTACCAATTTGCCCTGGTGTACCATATTTTCTCTATGTAAGCCATCACAGACTTTGGGAGAATAAATGAGAAGTAGAAATTAATCGATACAAGTAAAAGGTGAAATAAAGTAGGCAAAGATTACCTATTGAAATGCTTCCCTGTTATCAAAATAATGTCATTTAATTGTTCATTTAGTACAGTAAAGACAGAAAGCTGTTTCAGCCACTGACACAAATTTGCTGTGGTTTTCAATTTGTTCAGGGCACCTTGAGCCTCTCAGGGAGTGAGTGTGTTGTACCCTATAACTTATATCTTTTGTTCATTTTACTCATATACACATATAGCTTTGCCCAAATAGAACAACTAGTTAACAGAATTAAAAGAATGCCAGTTGTAAGAGGAAATTTAAGCAGTGTTAACTTGGAAAAAATGTTAGTCCTTGGGTCAGCTTTTGAACTCGAAGTATTTCTGTTCACGATAGTCCACTGCTAGTCTACTTCAATGGCCTACATGTTTCTTGGCTTCTTCAACTCATTGCTGGTCTACTCTAATGGCCTACACGTTTCTTGGTCTCTTCAACTCTCTTTTATCCCACTGTGAGGCAGAGAGCTCTGCTTCATAGTTCAAGCCTTTCACACTGGAAATTAGAATGACGCCCCCAAATCTAAACTAGTCCCCATTGAGCAGACATGACACGTGATGTTTCCAGACCCAACTTTACCACATATACATACTCCTAGTGTCTTTTCAAAATCAACTGTTTGTTAAAAACCCAGTGTTCTGCCAGGAGGTAGTGACACATGCCTTTAATCCCAGCACTTGGGAGGCAGAGGCAGGAGGATCTCTGTGAGTTCGAGGCCAGCCTGGTCTACAAGAGCTAGTTCCAGGACAGCCTCCAAAGCCACAGAGAAACCCTGTCTCGAAAAACAAAAACAAAACAAAACAACAACAAAAAAACCCCAACCAACCAAACAAACAAAACCTCAGTGTTCTGACCCGCAGCTCTCTGGGGACAGCACAGCTCTCGGTGACCATTTAGAAAGTGTTAATGTATCATTTCTTGCAGTGCCACTTCCTGGCCTTGAAACAAAGCTGAGTTTGCAATCGTTTGTCAAGCTGGCGTTGGGAATGGTGTTCTTAATGTTGGCAGAAGGATTCTAGTTTTTTACTTTTTCTTTTTTATTGATGGGCTTCACTCATATTCACAGCATACACTCCCCTTGGCCTTCTCTGTCTCGTCTTCTCTTGCTGGTCTCCTTCATCCTGTCTAATAGGGACCCCCTTCTGCTTTCGTGTAATGTATATCCTAGTACTGTTTTGTTTTGCACTTCCCTTTCTTTTTACAACTTTAAAGATTTGGTTTTCCACATAAACAATTTTGTCTAATAAGTGGAGCAAAGAGGTCTCCTTGCCATGACATATTCTAAGAAACATATTTTCTCTTGAATTCTTCCATGTGTGCATATACATGCATGTGTTATATGAAAAAATTTTCTTCGGGGGAGATGCAACACACATGCCTATTCACACTATATAGGGAGACCACACAGACCAAAGTACGGATACCACCAAAGTCCAACTAGGTGAACCAATGGGGTTACTTACAGGATCAGAAATGACTCAAAGACAGCTGCACCAAGAAAACCCAACCCAGCATGGCTAACAGCTCACAGAATCTGGGAACCAGGAGCATTCTGCCCAGCCTGCAGGCAGCTCAACAGGTTGGAGAGTGTCTTCTGGGTGCCTCAGTTGGCCTAAACCTCTTCCAGGCAGCTGGTCTGGCTAGAGTCTTTTTACAGCTCAGCTTGTCTAAGTCTTCTATGAGGTTCAGTGTGGATGGATTTACATTGAGGTCTTTGATCCATTTGGAATCGAGTTTTGCCTAGAATATTTCTTATGTTTTCCTCACACCCAAGCAGAAAGCCAGGCACCAAGGTGCTGAGGTAGGTACAGGGGAGGGGTATGGATGACAGATCTGAAGCTCATGACCAGCCAACCTCAGCAAACCAGTGAGCCCCAGGTTCACTGAGAGACCTTTCCTTAAAAAAAAGAGCGTGGAGCTTGGCATTGGTGGCACACATCTTTAATCCCAGCACTGGGGAGGCAGAGGCAGGCAAATCTCTGTGAGTTCGAGGCCAGCCTGGGTCTACAGAATGAGTGCCAGGATAGGCTCCAAAGGTACACAGAGAAAGCCTGTCTCAAAAAAGAAAAAACCAAAAACCAAACAAACCAAAAAAGAATGTGGATCTATGAGTGTAGCAGGATGTCTTTAGGAGTCATTTTATTACTGCTCTCCATCCCCCCAGAACAGTAGTATTTGGCTTTACCCTAGGTTCCTGGGCTATGTAATATATAGTTCTGGATCACCATAACAGTTGCTTAGGCACAATCAGTGAAGTTTCTTCCTGCAGCAGATGGGAATAAATACAAAGACCTACATGTGAAGAGAGTGAGAGACCTTGAAATGTCTCTATCAAATCCCCGCCCCCTCAGGGATCAGGGAACCCCATGAAAGGCGAGGCTGAAAGAATATAAGTGTCAGAGGGGATGGAGGACATCAGGAGAGCAAGGTCCTCTAAGTCAACTGAGCAGAGCTCAGGTGAACTCACAGAGACTGGAGCTGCAAGCACAGGGCCTGCACGGGTCTGCACCAGGCCCCCTGTGTGTACATTATGGCTTCCAGTTTTGCCTTTTTAAGGGATTTCTGAGTGTGTAAATGAGTGAGCCTCTGATTTTTTTTGTCTTCCATTGGGCTCTTTACCTTCTGTTTGTTTGTCTTGTCTAACTCCATTATATTAGTTTTTTGGGTCTTATTATATTTCATTATTATCCCTGAAAATCCTGTTTGTTTTCTATTGAGAGACAGAAAGGGAGTAGTAGATCTGAATGGGAGGAGAAGTGGGAGGAATAGAAGGAGGGGAAACTGTAATAAGGATATATTAAGTGAGAAAAAAATCAATTTTCAATAAAAAGGAAAAAGTACATTTTATTTAAAAAGAAAGAAAGGAAGGATAGAAGACAGAAAGAAAGAAAGAAAGGAAGGAAGGAAGGAAGGAAGGAAGGAAGGAAGGAAGGAAGGAAGAAAGGAAGGAAGTGAACACAATTAGGGAAGGCCCTGAAAGTCCACCTCTGGCTTCCATATATATTTATAGTTTATAAAAATACTCAGTTCAACCTTAAATTTTTAAATAATTAACTATATGGAAAATTACCGAGGTTTACTGTATATTTAATGAATACTCTTAGTAACTAAGTATCTTAGTCATGAATCAAAATTTACTTCTCTCACAATGTTTTCACTTTCAGTCCAACACATTTTTATTGACATTGTCTCTTTGACTTTCAGATCTTCCCACCTAACATTCTCGTTCCCTTCTGTTTTCTCAGTAGCAGAACCTCTCAGGATGTTTTCTCAGTAAACTTTGCTAGGCTGATAAATCTTAGCAACAAAATCATGGTGTTTACGTGGATAGGTGTTTGACAAATAATATGCTAAGAGGGCTCAGGAGGTAGTTCAGTCAGTAAAGGGCTTGCAAGCACGCATGAGTACCTGAGGTCAATCCTCAGGACACATACAATCTGGCCATGGGGCTGGAGAGATGGCTCAGCAGGTAAGAGTACTGACTGCTCTTCCAGAGGACAGGGGTTTGATTCTTAGCACCTACACAGTGGCTAACAAGCACCTGTAAATCCAGTTCCAAGGGATCCAGTGCCCTCTTCTGACTTCTGTAGGCACCAGATACACATGTGGTAGAGACATACAAGTAGGCAAAATACCCATACAATTAACATAAAATAATCCCAGAGAAACATAAAAATATTGGATATTGTGGCAGGTACTTACAAGTCTAGCACTGGAGAGATGATGACAGGTAGATTTTCTGGGTATTTCTGGCTAGCCACCCCAACCCTGTTCTCAGTGGGGGAGATCCAGTATCAAAAAACAAGGTGGACACTACTGAGGGACCAACAACCAACGTTAACCACTATCATCCACATGCATACATCCTTGCACAGGTACATTCATCTGCACACACACACACACACACACACACACACACACACACAAACACACATACAGTGTGACAATAATCCGATATGTTCCCATTCATCTGACAAGTGTATAGATTGATTCCCAGCCTCCTGACCCAGATGTGCTGGGAACCAAACTCAGGTTCTCTGGACCCTCCGGCAGAACAGTATGAATCATCACTGTTATATGGGCATGCTTTTGTCAAGATGGGCATTTGGAAGCCAGAGAACCTTTGGTAGTCAGTTCTGGGGATTGAACTCAGGTCATCAGTCTTGCCTGACAATTGACCAATCTTGCCTCTGTCTGTCTGTCTGTCTGTCTGTCTGTCTGTCTGTCTATCTATCTGCTACATTGTCTGTTCTTGAGTCAGGGTCTTGCTATGTACCCTAGATTAGCCTATATTTTGCAATCCTCTGGCCTTCATGTCCCCCTTCCATACTGCAATTACAGGATCACCATTAAATTCAGTTTATTAACAAGTAAGTTAAACATTTTTAGATTAAAAATGCTTAAAATGCAAATTAATCAATGTTTTTCAGGTTATGAAGACAATGACATCAATATAACCTCTTTGCAGCAGATAAAAACTGTGACAGAGCAGGTGGTACATCACAATGGAAATCCCGCGCCTGCCCAGGCAACCAAGCCCTCTATGATGTCCCTGCCCCACCACCACATGACAGCACTGGTGGGACCCCAGGAGCCCTCCTTTCAGGATGGAATCCTGAGGACGATGTCTCACAGAGACGTCCGGGCTGATCTGTTCCTGCGAAGCTTCCTCACATGGGCGGACACTATGGAAATGCTGCGTGTGGCTGGACATCCATCTGTGTACAAATCAGGCTGGCTGTACCCAGTCTACATATTCAGTTTCATCTCTCTGCTGAGGATGATCTTCACGCCTAAGAACCCTCTTCTCAATTCCATGGGGGTCCTGCTGCAGGATTTACCATTTATTTTTCTGAGACTCAGTTTAATCATTGCCCTGGGGACTATCACACCAGTATTGGGCCTTTGTAAAAATGTCCTAGTGACTGTCTCCTATATTTACTTCAACTATGTAACGAAACTCAGGCCTTTCTCTGCCTTTGAAACCTCTCCATTTTAAGCAGCAAATGTTAAGAGAGTAAGTCCTCTTGATTGTGCATATAAACACAGTTGCAAAGTCTTTCTAGGTATAAGCGTTTGCACTATATAGAATTAACTGCTTCCAAACTGTAGCATAGCTATTTTTTTTTACATATACAAATGGTGCTACGTTTAAGCAAAGTTATAACCTTCCATATTGCCTCTTCTGGGCTTAGTCGTTGATTTTAGCCATGCATATCCCACCTGTTGCTAAAAATCACTCCCAAGTGAAGCCTTTTAAAGTGGTGGGAACCATGAACTAGCTCAGGAATCAGATTTTCATTATGTGTACATTGAAGAACATTGTATAACTCAATGAACTGAAATTAGGTTTATAAAATAACCTGAAGATATAGAATATATTTTAGAGTTTGCTTGAAAATCTGAAAACTGTGGCTTTAGGGTCTCCTTCAAACATAAAATTACGTATATTCTCTGTCTATAGTCTGTCTGATTTTGTTTTCAGCAGTGAGGATTAAATCAGAGCTCTGGACACACTATCCTAGTGCTCTACCAATGAGCTGCATCCTTAGCCTTAGAAATATATTTTATTTTGGCCCTGCTATAATGACCTCTATTCAACTCATTGTTTGTGTAAAAGCAAAAAGCAAGCAAGCAACCAACCAAACAAAAAATCCATGGGACTTGAGCTGCCACCAGCTCAGCAATGCTTCATTAGCGTTCCTCGGCTGGAGTAGCAGGGCAGTACGTCAGTGTCGAGTCATGGAGACAAGGTACACTGTGAGTCCTAGATAAAGTTTTATAATGGAAGCCATAAACTGAAGACAAAGCAGAAGAAGGTAATATTTATGGAATTTGATACGATCATAAAACAATCAAGTACAAGCCATATTTAAAATGATAGTTTGAACTTAGCGTGGTGGTAAGGTGTCTTATCTAGCAGTAGGTCATAAATATCTTTGTGCTTTGGTAATCATGCACATAGTCATGGGCTCTGCAGGTGCTGTGTTGGCACAGATGTTTTAGCCACAGCAAAGGGTCGCAATTAAGAGAGGGTTGTAAGAGGCTTATGCGTGTAGAGTAACGATTCCTGTCACTCTCCTCCCTGACCCATGGAAACAAATAGCTTATGAATAGATTGATAACTCCTAGTGTTCCTGGCCTCTACACTGAGACCCACAGGCTCTTTTCCCATTGTGTTTTATGGGCCTCACGTTGAAGAGAAAATCTACTTACAATTATGAAGCCTTGGAAACCTTGCCTGTCAGCTATGTGATTTGGGTCTGATTCCTTGACAGCTGTGCCCCTCACTGCTATGTGTAATAGATGAACACAATATAAATACTCCTTTAATAGTGTTGGGTGATTGTAGGATTTGGAGTGCTCTCAACACAGTGTCTCATAATTAATAACACTTCCACACCCCTGACCCCACTCTGGGAATGATAGTTTATACCTGGCACTTGTGAGACGTAACATGTAAGAACTCTTAAGGCTACCTCAGACTACTAGGTTTTGTTTTTGTTTTTTTTAATCAATTACTCTTGTAGACAATAGTGAACGATCTGTTAAATACTCAGATGAAAGTGAATGTGAGAATTCTTTCTCCCATTTGAATAAAACTTCTATGAGTTTTCAAATAACCCAGACTATACCACTTTAGTTTTCTTTTCTTTTGATTTTTTTATTATGTAACCCAGGCTGTTCTGAACTCACTATATAGCTGAAACTTTTCTTGAACTCCCCATCCTCCTGCCTCCACCTCCCCAGTGCTAGGATTACAGGTACGTGCCACCTACGCAACACAGGGTCTTTTTGTTTTGCATTGCTGAAGTTTAAACGCAGCCTCATCAGCTCTCTGGTGCCACATAGGCCAGACTGCACTTTTTGATTTTGAAGACTTTTGATTATATATTTACTTTTCTTGGTTCCATGTTAACTTGTCAGTCCTCTATCTCCACCGGTATTTCTAACATAAAATGCATATTATATATCTTTTAAAATTAGGTAATGCCTATAACCAAGTGACTAATTTACCGTATCTATAAATGTGAAACTCATTTACATAAATGCATATATCTTTATATTGAAATTTAGAGTGAGTGGCATTCAGTAAACTTGGAAGTATTATCTTAGCCTGCATTTTGTATCTGGCAGTTGAACTTGAATATGCCTGATATTTGGGGATGTTGGCAATACTGTATACAGATAATGAAGGCATATATAATAGAGCATGTAAGTCCGGAAAAGCCTTGAGTCTCTAACCTAACCGAATGTACAGATGTTTATAAAGTTCAAGCCTATGGTATTTAAGATACATCACAAAACTTATGCTAATGTAGTAATGATAGTTCTACACTATGTGATTAAACCTGTATTACTAAATTATACTGTAATTCTCATAGCTGTTTATAGTTGCTGGTATTACGGTTTTGTGTCCTAATAAAAAGCTTAATTTCTGTTGTAAAGTGTGAATACCAGATCTGTTCTAGACTGTATAACATTTAACCTCAAATAAAATCTGTAGCTGTACGATGATTACGTCTTCATTAAATGTCAACTTCATATAAGGTTAATTGCTGAGACACATAAAAATGCATCTATGATGGAATATTAATACCATCTAACAACTTTTATAAAATTTAATTTTTTTGGTGCCTTTTCTTTCTGCAAGTTGATGTTTGCATTTACGATGTGCCAGTGTTACAGGCTAAGTTGTCCAGTTAGCACTCCACATCACTGAGTGGCCATTACCCTAAGGCACAAGCACCCGAAGGGGAAAGAAACAGCTTACTGTGTTCGGGACACAGGCTGTGTGCAGGGAACGGGCTGTGTGCAGGGCACCAGCTACACGGAGACACTGGCTGTGTGCAGGACACGGGCTGTGTGCAGGGCACCAGCTACACGGAGACATTGGCTGTGTGCGGGACACAGGCTGTGTGGAGCAAGACTTGTCAGTGAATGCTCCAACAGTCTTATCTTCCTAATAAACATTAAAAGTATGTTAAATTGTGTTTTAAAAAACACCCAAGAACTCACGGTGTCTAGCTCCCTATGCCCTAGAAGAAACAAATAATGAAAAGAAAACGTGTAATACATGGAACAAAAGTGTTTTTTAAAATCATTTTTAATCTTTAACCCTTTCCTATTTCTTTACTCATTTATAGACAGGGCCTCACTGTATAGCCCTGGCTTTCCTAGGACTCGTTACACAGTCCCAGCTGTCCTCAAGTCATCAGCTATCCTTCTGCCTCTGTTTCCCCAGTGCTAGATGGTTACAGGTGTGTGCCACCATGCCCGGTTCTTTTCACCTTTTAATTAAAATCCTGTGACTAAGCGACTCTTTTGTGTAGAGGTTAGCTTCACTTTGGGTGTGTTTACTAAACACCCTTCAGCTTCCCGGCAGGCTGCCTGTTATCCCTCTTTCCAGCTGTGTAGTCACGTGGTCCAAACACAGAGGCAGCAAGGTCAGGACGGGAGGAGATGGAGAAACAAAGGCATGTCCCTGTGAGAACACGGACTAATCCAGCTACCCTCTGAAAATGCTCCAAGACCATACAAAAGGCCTCAGTTCGCGAACTTGACATCACACCCCTGTGTGTAGCCGTCATGTTATTTATATATGATAGTCTTGACCTAGCAGACAGTTCCCCCTTCAAATCAAACCTGGCTCAAGCTGAAGATCCCTGGGAAGTGAAACCAGAGCACTGTGGGCAATAAGTCTAGGAACATTATACAACTATAAAAGTTGATTATTTATAATAGCTTATGGGCATATTGCCACGTTTATCCTCAAGCTTTTCATTTCCATTATGTTTACGTATCCCGTGTGCAGGGAGGTGAGAGGACAGCTTTCAGGGGCTGGTTCTCTCCTTCCATGTTGTGGGTCCTGGGAAACGATCCAGGTCATCAGCTCGGTGGCAAGCACCCTCACTGAACGAGCCATTTCTCTAACCCCATCACCAGTCTACTCTGAAGACAATTCTTTTTAGAGTTATTAAATTTTTAATAGTGTGTGTGTGTGTGTGTGTGTGTGTGTGAGTGTGTGTACAGGCATGTATGCTCACACATGTGTGAGTGAGCGCACATGGCAGAGGGTTCCAGAAGAGGGCATTATGAGATCCTCTGCTGTGGAGTTACAAGTGGTTGTAAGTCACCTGACACGGCACTGGGAACTGAACACAGGTCCTCCACAAGAACAGCGTGCACTCTTCATTACTGAGCCATTTCTTCAGCCCCAGTTCTGAAGACAATTACCCTGGATATTTTATTACCTCACCCATTCAACTAGTTTGCAAATCTGTCATAGACCAGATTGTGGTTTGTGCGAACAAATAATTCACAAGATTTGGAAAACTACTTTAAAAAGATGTTTAGTCTTATGTCACAAATTAACATGAATTTAGGGATAGTGTTTTCTATAGTAAATTGTATGTGAAGTTGGCATTTATACTTACACAAACTTTAATTTTCTAAATTTTCTAAAAGCTCATAATTTTCTTTATACTGAATTGGGAATATTAATGGATGTTTTTCAGGAATGCCTTCTCTTTCAACAAAGCATTTCTTTTCTTATTGTTTTCTTTTTCGAGACAAGATCTCACTATGTAGCCTATGTTGATCTTGGGGTGATTACAGACTTAGATCACCACCATACCTAGCTTCTTCTTCTTTTTTTTTACAAGTTAATTTTAGATGCTATAAAACATCTATATTCTACAGCATGTGAATGGATAAAATCTATTTTTCCATTGTTAAAATTCAAATTGTTAAAAATTACAGAGAGATTTATCCATTTGCTCAGTGTCTAAGTAATAATGCAGTATTTTTGTGTCTTAATATCCATGTATAAAAATCACATACCACTTTTAGATTATAAATACGTTCTGTAACTTAACCTTAATTTTCTACATATATTTAATAGTCAAACAACCTTCCAAATTACGTTGTAGAGTTGAATGTGTGTATCATAGTCCTGAGGAGGGAGACTTAATTTAAATGTGGACATCATCATTCCATTGTTTGGGGTCACAGTCTACATAAATAAGAGAGAGCATCAGTGTTCATCTCTTTCTGCTTCCCGACTGCAGATGCAATGGTGACCATTAATTTCATGTTCCTGCTGTCATGGCTTCTCCATCATGCTGGATTTCACCATCACAATGTGAGCCAAAATAGCTCTTCTTCCTTAAGTGCTTTGTCAGGAGTTTTGTCACAAGCATGAGAACAGTAACTGAGACGAGCACCTGCCATTCCAAGCAGCTGGAACCCATCTACACAGAGACAGGGCTCACCACTGGCTAAGTCTCTCTGGCTCTGAAGGCATACATGGCCCTCTGTATCTCTAGAAATAAGGCATTTTAACATGAAGGTATGTGCGTTTTCTAGACATGATGCTATTACAAACTTAATGGTATATGTATTCTGACATCATTACTCCTGCATATGGGAAATTTTTAAGAATGTGTAAGGAGGTTTATTTCAGCAGCCACTTTGTTATGAAGGCCTGGAAATGAATCTCATTCTGCCTAACACATGGCTGATTTAGGTTACCAAAGAATTTGTTGTGTTAATTTTCTGGGAACTCTTTCAAAGCACAGCAGACACCAAATTCGTTTTATGTAGAATCCAGTGGGTGTGAGGAGGTTGGTGCTTGAGAAGGTCTGGGAGGAAATGAAAGAGTTCAGCAATTATCTTGTCAATTACAAATGAGTATTTCCTTAATTGTTAGCTTGAGGAAGGTCTAGGCAAATAGCCACCATCATTAATAACCAGCCACAAAACCAGAACACAAATGGCTCAAAAATACAAAGTGGGTATCAAAGGTTTTTTTTTTAAGAATTGTGTTAAAATATACATATCATAAAAATTGCCACAGTAAGATTTTAAACCATACAATCCAGAGGTATTGAGTTTACTTCCAGTGTTATTTAACTACTGACATTGTTTTCAAAAAATTCTTGTCCTCCAAAATTGTGCCCATAAGCCAAAACTTAACCCTTTGTTTTCTCCCACTTCCAGTCTTTCTACCTCTTAGTAATCTCCCTTCTCTCATGGATTTTCCTATTCTATACGTCACAAGTAATTGGATTTTTACAATATTTGTCCTTTGATGTCCAAGTAATTTCACTTTAACAGCACATCTAAAGACTGTCCATATTGTAGCAGGTATCAGAATTTCTCTCTTGTGACTGTATAATGTCTCATTATATATACCAAACATGTTTTGTTTATGTATTAATTTTCCTGGTAGACACCTGGGTTGCTTCTCTCTTTTGGCTTTTTCAAATCATATTGCTATGAATGTTACAAATACCTGATTTCAGTTCATTTGTAGGTATAATAGAAGTAGAACTAATGTATCAGGACAATTCTCTACTGCATTCATTCATTGAACCACTGCCAAGCTCTTTTCCACATGGACTATTCCATTGAAGTCTACAATTGAATGAGGGTCTCAGTTTCACAGTGTTCTCACAAACCCTCCTTTTAGGTGAGAGAGGCATCTGGTAGTTGGATTCGCCTTTTTCTGCTGGCTGTTGTGGTTGAATTTCTTCACATATGCTTACTGGCCATTCACAGATTTTTCTTTGGAGAAAGATTAGCCCATGTCCAGTGTTCATTCTTAACTGCCTGTAGTTCTATCCTAGACATTAGTCTCTTATCAAATAAATGCTTTGATAATATTTTCTAACAATCTGTATTCTCTCTACTACTTCTCCTTTCCTCTATTTTTCTCATTTTTCTTCTTCTCCACTCCCTTTACCTTCAATCCTGCATCCTGTTTCTTTTTGAGTCAGGGTCTCACTATGTAGCCTAAAATGGCCTTAAACTTACCATCCTCCTGTCTCAGCTTTCCAAGTGCTGGGATTACAGACACATGTCATTGTGTACAGCTCATTCTACTGATAGTATATCCTTTGACACAAAAATTTCTGATTTTGAGAAATTTCAATTTGTATATTTTTTCTTGGTGTCACAGTCAATAAGTCATTATTAAATCCAGTATCACGAAGATTTTACTCGATTCTTTCTTGTAAGGGTTCCATGGGCTTACCACGTATGTTCAGGTCTTTGATTCATGCGGAATTTTCTGTATGAGTATTAAACCAATTGTCATTCTACTTGGGAGTATCTTGTTTCTCCAGAATTTCCTGTTGAGTACATTATTGCTTCCTTACTGAAAGGTCTTGGAATCTTGTCAAAAGTCAACTGACCATGCATGTTGAAATTTCTATCTAGGCTCTGTGTTGTATTCCAGTGATCTATAAATCCATCTTAAGTCTGTACCACACTGTTAATATTACTGAATTATGGTTTTGTAATAAAATTTGAGATCAGAAAGTAGGAGTCCTCTAATTTCTTCCAAAATTGTTTTGGCTATCTGTAATCCTTTGAGAGTACACTCAGATTTTAGGATAGGGTTCCCTATATCTGAATTAAAACATGATTGGAATTTTGACAAAGATTGCCTGAGTCTGTCTCTCTTCAAGTATTCTTATCCTCTTCACAATATTTAGTTCTACGTTCCA